TTTTTTTTTTTTCTTATTTTTTTTTTTTTATTCGCAGGTAATGGGGGGAAAGAAATCCCCTTTTGGTTAAACTGTGGCCCCCGTTGGCCCCCCCCCTACAAGGGGGGGGGGGGGTTACTCAATATGGCGTGTCCAGTAAAAAGATGGACAGAAATGCCATGCACTGTTATATACATATTAGAAATAAATTATACGCATCTCTTTTAAAATGGTTGTCCTCTACTACAGCAGTTTAACATGTGGACATAGCAGGGATGAAGAACTTGTTTTGGCTCAAGAATAGCCATCCAACACCTTGGAGTTGTATGCTAGCAATGGGTGCACTGGTGCAGCCTTCCGGTTTCCTCCCAACGTATTTGCCAAGGAATACACTTTTTTTTTCATTCATGGGGATATATACAGTACATTAGACACACACCGTTTATTTATATATGATTAATATACACATAAACCTATTTTTCTATCTATATTCTTCATTGATTGTAGAAAGGCCTTTGGGTTGATCATGTTAAGCTGTAGAAAGTGCTCAGAAAAAAAGGGAATCCCAGACCATCTCATTGCCCTCATGAGAAACTTGTATTCAGGTCAGAAAGCCACAGCATGGACAAAACATGGTGAAACAGACTGGCTCCAGGTTGGCAAAGAAGTGTGACAAGGCTGAATACTCTCCCCTTATTTATTCAACCCATATGCTGAATTAAAGAAAGCTAGATTGGAAAATGAGTGTGGTTTTAAAATTGGAAGAAGAAACATCAGTAAGCTGATACTCTGGTAGCTGAAAATGCAAAAGATCTGTAGGCCCTAGTAATAAAAGTCAAGGAGCACACTGAAAAAAAAATAGGACTAAAATTAAATATAAAGGAGACCAAACTAATGACAACAGGCAGAACAACCAGCCTTACAATTGACAATGAAGATATCAAAGTTGTGGATATCTTCTACCTTTTAGGATCAACCATCAACAGTAAAGGAACAAGCAGTTAAGAAATATGCCACAGACTAACACTTGGTACAGCAGCCATGAAGTCCTTGGAAAAAATATTCAAATGTCATGATGTCTCTATACCTAAAAAGATCAGAATTGTGCAAGCCATGATATTCCCTGTGATACTCTATGGAAGCCAAAGTTGGACTTTGAAGAAGCAAGATAAGAAGAATATTGATATTTTGAACTTTGGTATTGCAGAAGACTCCTGAGAATACTGTGGACAGCCAAGAAAACAAATCAATGGTTCATTGAATGAATCCACCCAGAGATCTCACTCCAGATGCAAATGACCAGGCTCAAATTATCCTATTTCGGACACTTTGTATGAAGACCCAGCTCTCTGGAGAAGGCTCTAATGCTGGAAAAGGTGGAAAAGAAGAAGAGGATGACCAGCAGCAAGGTCGATAGACTCAGTTACAGTAAGAATAAGTGCACCATTGGAAGAGCTGAAGGACCAGGTCAGGGACAGATCATCATTGAGAAAATCTATCTATGTGATTGATAGGAGTCGAAAATGACCCGATGGCATGTAATCAATCAATCACACCTATTTACATGGAGAGACCTTCATTAGTTCTTTTCTTTCCCACCTTGAAAGAGTGTCTTCAGTTGTACAGAACCTTGGCCTTCTGCAGTGGGAAAGCAGGGGGCTAAAAGTGGCTTAAAGAGCAGAAGACTCTGTTCTTCCCTTGATTTTGGAAAATAAACTTGGTTTTGGAATCTGCTCCCCTCTCTTTTTCCAAGGAGTCAGGTCATGAGAGACCAAGAAACCAGACGTGGAAGTCTGAGGGAGTGAATTTGAAGTGCAACTGGTGGCTATAACCCACTATACAATTATCACCTCAATATCTCATGAAGTTTTTAGATATGAAATGTGATTGAAACCTAAACATATCCAAGTAGCAAGCACTGACTGCAGAGCTAATATGTCCATATGCAATAATGGCCTAAATAATATTTTCCACTTTAAAATACGCTGCTAATTCTTCTATATTTCTTTACATGACCGCTATTCTGTGGAATGCAGAATAATAAAATGCTGTTCCTGTGTCTGAAAGTATTTGTCCTTTCCCTAACAGTAATGTGTGAAACTCACCTTTTGTTTTTTTTTCCCCCTTGTTTTTGCAGTTTTCATTCATTTTTAGAACAATTTTATCATTTTATTAAATGGAAGCTGCACTGGGGGTAGAAGGACAAGGTTAGGATACCAGCATTTTAAATAAATAAACATATTGAAGCAGCTGGCATTTGGTTCAATGTGAAAACAGCTCCATGATTGTTTTTTCTTGTTTGTTTCTCAAGGTGAAAGCCACAGATGCAGATGAAGGTGTGAATGGCCGTGTGTGGTACAGGATTGTCAGAGGTAAATAGATATTTGGGATATCTATATTTTGTAAGGACTCTTGTACATCCTTTGAAAGCATACTGATCCCCATGCAATCTAACTCCAGCTTCCCTATGTGTACAGCTCTACTATTTCCATCCAGACTTAATTATTGAAAGAAATAATCTGAGTGGATTCCACTTCTAATATATCTGACTTTCTCTGTAATGAAATTGCAATAGACTTCCTTTTTTGAAACCTGGCAGTTCATGTTTTATAATCTTTAAGATTAAGTATGCTGCAAAAACCTGTTTTGATATATTTCATATAATACTCTGTGGTCATGATCCTCAGTACACTCCTTTCCAAGTACATTCAGCTGCTGATGGAGGCTGGCTCCCAAGGAAGTCTTGAGGAATAAGCAAAAGGTTGCAATAAGCAGGAGAATTTGGAAAAAGTGCCTTGGACCTCTTGCGAGCTCAGGATCTCTGTGCAATTTATTAAAATGTGAACCGAAGGAGGGGAAAATGCTGCTGCAGCTCTTTAAACCAGAGGCACCTATTTTCCAGCATCATGAAGAGCCTGAAAAAAGTTGGGCTACTTTAGTGTACAGCAGAGAGGTGCTGTCCTTGTGCAAGTTCTGAAGCACATTTTCCCTTTTATGAGTGTGCCCTACCAAAGATATCTTGTGATATTATGAGACACCTCTCTCCCTCTCCCTCTCCCTCTCCTGTATCTATCTCTTATATGTCTTCAGGTTGAACTGCATGGAGTATTAAATTTTCCAATATGATGATACCCCAACATGCCTTATTTGGTAGTTTTTCTTTCTTCTCAACAGGAAACAATTTCAACAATTTCAGGATCAATCCCAGCAGTGGGCTGGTCATGCGGGGTTTACGACCTCTGGACAGAGAACACAATTCATCCCACGTTCTTGAGGTGGAAGCTTACAATAGTGAACAAGGACCAATGAGAAGTTCTGTCAGGGTAATGCCTTTCAAAATACTACAAATCAGCAACCTTTTCAGGCTGTGGCCATCATCACAAGGTTTTGAATTAATGCAATCAATAATGTCCTTGGACCCACCTAGAGATATCATGGATCTTGTGTTGCCTAGAGGAACTGCACTGCCAGCTTGTGTGAAGGATGAAAACAGAATGTCTTGTTTTGCTTATAGTACAGGATTCTGAAAACTGCTGTATCAGATTTACAGTTTGGTAATAATAAATGCAATACATGAAGGCTTCTATGGTGGAAATAATTAAAGCATCAAATTTTGAATCTATTTGTACCTAGCTTCAGCAGAGATTTAAATGCTGGCCACTTAATAGGAGTCTAAGCTTGTTCTAAAGTTTCATAGTTAGGGTGGATTTCTCTGTTTTTTAAATTAATTCAGCAACAAAACAGTCATGGCTAAGGAGTTACCTTGGCTTAGCATGAGCCGCAAATATGGGTGTCTGGTTTCACCCACCTGAAAGAAACTAGAGAACAAAGCTATTGTTTATTTTAGCCTATGAATGAATTTGTTCTCTGCCTTCTGGGTGGACAAAGCCAACGTTCCTGGTTTGCATGGCTGATCAAGCAGAGATGCTATATTAGGTGCACCTGTTCATTGATGGGGCAGTGTGTTTGCACAGATGCCTTTGCCACTTAGCTTGGCTTGTGAACTGACTCACTAGATATGGAATTCTGGGACTTGGATTCTGTGGTCTGAGCTGGGTCCAAGCCTCCTGAACACACTGAATCAGAACACCAGTTCAAGAGACAGTTCACTAGTGCAAGTTCAGTCTGTGCACCTTACTGAGCACATGAGCTGTTTGGATTGCCTGGTCTAGAGCTAGTGTTGATTCCATCTCTCTCTTTCCTTTTTGATAACAGAGCAGAAGCTTCTTCCTGGTCCATTTTATGCCCCAGCTGTCCTGACCACTGACTTCAGTAACCTATACTTCCAAAGATCAGATTCAGTCCATGACTTTGGCCTAACTCTGTCAATATGCAACTCTTCCACTTATCTGGAGCAGGATGGAGAACAGCAGGCAACATATTAGAACAGTGTTGTCCAAACTTGACCACTTTAAGATGAGTGGACTTCAACTCCCAGAATTCCCCAGCCAGCAT